AAGTTGGCTGAACTAGTCGTATAATTTGGTTCACCATCAAAATGTCAAGACTTAAATGAAGAATTACCATTACCTTGAGGCCCCAAAGTTGACAAGAATGAACTATCATTTGCTACATTATTTGAAGAGTAAGTACAGTTGGTTGAACATTTTGATTGATCATTGACAAAGTTGAGGTCTTAGCTTGAATCTGACTAGTAGAAGAATTACCAACATATGCTCGAAATACATTGATCTGGCAATTTTGGGGTGAATTGGACAATATTTGATTATGTACCCTGTCTTTCTGCAAGAATTACAAAATTTTTCGATAACAATTTGGAGCAATAGGCCTATAATTCTTATAATTAAAAACTGAATCTTACTCATATCTCTACCTTTGCCCTTTCCATGAGCCAAAGTACTATGGATATTGTCAATTTCTCCTGATCAAGAGTGGCCTGTGTAAGAAGATATTGTTCTTTATGAATCATTTCACTGAAACATACATCTAAGGCAGGAGGAGGAGGATGATTCGTAAAATTCACACGAATATTTTCATAATCTTACTGTAGCTTCATCAAAAACTGATCATGCTTGCTAATCTCTTCAACAACAAACACATTAGCAAGAAATCTTTGAACACTATAGCACAAACTATATCATAGAGTTCAGCCCTATAAATCTTGGAAACGATAAAAATACTCCTGAATAAATACTCCTCTGAGTGATGATTTGCAATCTCATTATAACTATACAATCACATTATGCGTACAAAATAAATAGGCTGTACAAATAAATAATTGCCATATATGACCACACTTTTCACTTTGTTTTCTAAATCACTCTTTTTCAAAGTGCAAATTTTGTGCTCTTTACTGGCTTCATCATCCTTTCTTATAATCTTGATGGGGGATGCTCGTCCTAGTGTAGGACTAGCTCACCCATAAAATCTTCTGTTAACTAACGAATGTCTTGAATGTTGCTCTTCACAACTTCTTGATCTTTTTCATGATTTTAGGAAATCCAAGAGGAATTAATATTTTTAACCTCTGATGACAAGCATTTTTCTCTCTTTCTCTCTCTTCTTTTTTAATTACATTCCCATCAGTATCTTTGCAAATTTTCATTTTATTTATTGTGAACTTATGATAAATCTCTTTCCATATACTTGCTCACTGTTACTATTCAAACCACTCATGGGCAGTACAACTTCCCAGCTACAGGAAGGCATTGACAAGTGATAGTTACTAGTTAATCCTTCCTTTCTTATTTTTATAACGTTAGATGATAATGGTCCAAAAGCATGTAATCTCCCTGCTTATCTTATTGCGCCAAATGTCCATCTTATATGCCAGAAGTCCTTAGAAGAATCCATCTAGCTTTTAAAAATAAGTGATAGCGTGGGGTGCTTGGATATTCCCTTAAGATCCAGTAGAAGGAAGCTGTCTAGCATGCCCCTGGTTCCCTCATCTGCCTCCAGCTTTTAACTTGTGGAGCTACTAAAATAGTCCTTGTTTGCACATGCAGCGGGCCCTCTACGCTTCTTGTGGCTATTGCATATTCTACGTGTACTAATCACTTGAAGCTTTTCTTGGACACAACATGACAGTTTTATTCAGATGGATAATATCCTATCCAACGAAGCCAGCTACTCTTTAAAAAATGGAAATGAATATAAAACATGATCTTTTCAATTATATCTATCCAATCATTCTTTTAACATTAATATATTATAGTTTCAATCATATTAAATATTCATTGTATTCTGAAAAAATATCTACAATAATTCTTTGCAAATTGTGTTACTATAATCGACCCAAAATACATGTATGATGCATTCGCAATCTTAAATTGGGTTTTAAACAAACAAATATATTTACTTTGTGACTTTAAATGCAATGTATTATTTTAAGCCCTTATAATTTAGAAAATTGAAGAATTGTTTGTTAAATTTTCATAGTTGTCTTAATCTTATTTACGTGTCTCACTAGTAAATTTAATAGATAGTAGTTAGAAGTAGAAAATAATACATATTAATACAGAAAAAGGTTATATTGTAGATATGGTGAAAATATAAGTTGTGGTAAAATTTTGAACTATAATAATATATAATCTTATACAGATAAAATATAACAGTCAATTGTTGAGGTTTGTCCTAATGGTTATCAGAATTTTTTTACGATGGAGATTTAGTTTTTGGTTCTTGTGTAGCACAAGAATAATATATATTATGCTATATTAAGAAAACAACAAATTATAACATATAAATTGAGATAAGGATAAATGTGCTTTTTATTAATTTCTGAATAAATATATGTATATTGCTCTCCAGTTGTCAATAACTTTTGTAATTATCTTTCTTAGATGTTTGGAAATTGACTTATCATTAAGTTTAAATAAACAAGCAAGTTATGTAAATATTAAGTTGACCTTTCTTCTGATTGTTCCTCAAATGATATTTTGCTTCGCTCTTACTTTCTTATATATATTTGTCGATGATTAAGTATTCTTTTTAATCTTTCACGTTGTTACTTGGAGTTTGCTTGATATATAAAGTGGCAGTTGGCTTCTCAGTTTCCCTTTCTTTTCATTTCTTTTAAACAATCAACAATTATTAGATTCCCATTTATGTTTTTTTTTTTGTCACAATCATTAGATTCCCTTTACAGAGACAGCCAACCCCTGCAGCAATTATGCCAACATTGGCATGAGTCGGTGGCTTGTAGTCTTGGATGAGATACCAAATGCGATCTCTAAGGTTGGCAAGTTATAATTGTATATATTTAAATTGATAATTTACTTCATACTAAAATAAACATGAGCCTTCTGATAATACTATAGAGCCATTTGGTTCAATTTGGCACTAGTTCTCTTAAAATCGGCTAAAGAAAATAAGTCTGAATTCTCGTCACTTCTGTCCAAGAGAAAGAGACCAGCAGCAAAAATTTACTTAACTAATTCTACTTAAATTTATATATTAACACAAATAAGATTTATTAATCATGAATATAAAAGAGATTTTAAAAAAATGAACAAATGTGATATAACACAATCTGTAACAGGCAAAGACGCATTCGAAGATATGAATGCACATTATAGCATTGGATTAAATATTACTTTATTATGGGAAACGAAGCACGTGGTGAGATGTTGGAAGTGAAGCCTGGGTGAGTGCTCTTTTTTTTTTTTTTTTTTCTTTTCTTTTTAGGAAAACTTTATCAAGTGATTAGTTTAGTTTTATCAATAAATTGTAATATTTAGAATCTTCATGTGTCTGTCTAGATTCATCATTGCTAAAGGTGATAAGGATAACTATAGGAATGATTTTAGGATGGCGTTACTTCTTTAAACGTAATTGTAAACTATAATTTGACAATTATTAATTTTCAATTAATATTTACAGTAAGTATTATGAGTTCAATTTACTGTAACCATATCTGTGTCTTTTGTGTATGGATAGGCGGATGGTGCGTATTCAAGTTTAAATTAATTAATTTGACTAATTTAATTATTTGTTAATATTATGCAGTTGAGAGTGGGTCTTGGATTGGTTTATATCTGCTCGAACTAAGGGACGACACTCGGCGCGTTTCTCCACGTGAAGGTAAATGAGAGTGGGTCTTGGATTGGCATTATTTCTAAAAGTTGACAGCCGAAGCTTATAAAGACTTCTAATATTTTATCCAGCCTGAATTGGCCGACCACGACCGAAACTTTTAATAAAAAACACGTGCTAGTTTGGGTCAACTTTATGGCTCCCGATTAAAACTGCAGCGGCGTGTACAGAGTCTGTGGTCCCACTGTTGCAGTTAGGCGCGTCTCTCTGATAATCATATTATCATAATTTCATATAATACACATTTATTTATTCAAAAAATTAATTTAAATTTTAATTATAAAAGTATCGTTCTAACAATAATGTTTTTAAATATTGGCAAAAGATAAAATTTTTTAAATGTACAGAGAATTCCTATGCTGTATATTCTTTTTCACCGGGAGGTAAATTTTTTATACGACAAAAACATTAATACCTCATGAAGTGCTACAACATTTTTTTTTTCAATTCTGTTAATATAGAGTGTATGCTTAAATTTTTGTATAAAAATATAGAATTAGGTGATGTAATATAAAATTTAAAAGGTTAGATGTTATTTTAACAAATTAGAACCTATCAATTGCTGGGTATATGCATAAGAGTACAACGCTGAATAAATCTAATATAATTTAGAAATCAAATAAACTTTTATAGCTAATTTGTTAAAATTGTGATTTATAAATTCCAGTTTTTAAAAGGTGAAGTAACTTAAACTAAAAAAATCTGATTTAACAAACTAAATTGGTCCCACCACCCACATTCCGCGATAACAGTAATCGTTAGAAGGAATGTTGTTAGGCGTTGTGAGGAGGAGTTATAAAACTCTTGGGTCCGGGTTCTGGTTAGCTGGAGAAATGTGAGACAGTACAGACAACTCAACTCCATTCCTTTTTTTCCGTTTAAATCATGATTTTTGTGTACGAAAACGGTGACGTAACACAAAGGGTCCCCTTCTAGCTCACGTCATCTTCCAGTTTTATTCCCTGTTTAATTTATAAAAAAAATAAATATTATTTAAAATTTACACGCAAGTTGCATGGTGACTTGGTCCCCAAGATAAAAAGAGAAATTATATTTTTCGCTCCTGGATGTAATTACCTTTTTGCCCATCACGGCATGTTTGTTGTTCGGCAACTTCTGTAAGAAAATTTACAAGAAACTTCCGCGAGTTATTCTTTTTTTCTTCTAATGTTTATTAATTATAATTTGAATTTTTGGTAATTATATTGAATAAATTTGAAAAAAAAAAAGCAGAAAAAGAATAAATATCTAGATTTTTTTTTTGTTAATTTTCTTAAAAATAAAAAGAAAATAATATTGGGCATTAAAAAAATATGCTCCTTCTTGGCGTTTCTCGTAATCCATTTTCAGCTTATATTTCGGTAACAGCGAGCGAGGAAGGCGAGCGACTTAGTCATCAAGGAAAGCTTGCAAGCACCTTTTCGTCATTTCACTCTTACACCTCCAACCTTCTTCTTCCCAAAACTTTTATTATTTATAATCATCCCCTTTTCTTCCTCTTCCCTTCCATTGCTTTCGACTTCCGTCCTTTTCGGTATTTCTCTGCACAAAGCCTTCTCTTATTCTCTCTCGCAAAAACCCTCTTGCGTCACCTAATGGAAGACTCTTCTTCCCTTGTTTCAAACTGGATAATCTTCTTCTGAATCATTTTCACCCAGAAAAGAAAGATTGCAAGCAATTTCAAGAAAAGATACACTTTGAATTTCTCTTGTTCAATTTTCTTGACTAGGACAAGAGAAATGAATGACACAGACAGAAAGGAGAATAATATTAGTTTTATGTGAATACAATTTGTACAACCAAAGTTTTAGAGATTTCTTTGTTCTTCCTTGTCTTTTTCTGGGCTTGTTTTTCTTCTTTTTGTTCTTTTTCTTGTAAATGGGACGTAAGTATCGTGCAATCGTCTTTGACACGGATCACGAGGAGGGTTCCCCGCGATTGTGAATCGTGGTGTAGAGAGAAAATAAATAAAAAAAGCTTTTGTTGGGGGGGTTAGGCGGAAGGAGGCGCAGGGAGGGACGGCGTTGTTTGGTCGGATGGGGATGGAGTGCAGGGCCCTGGCTCCGCCGGCGGCTGTGGCTGCAGCCAAGGGGGAGTGGTGGGCTAGGGAGGTGGGACAGATCGCGGGAGGGTTTAGCCATGAGAGCGAGCATGACCTGGCTCTTATGGTCAGTGATTTTTTGGAGAGCGGTGATAGCACAGGCCCTGATTCTTGGTGCAGCAGCGATAGCGACTCTGGCTTTTCTGATCTTCCTCGCCTCGCGGAGAAAATTCAGGTGCCTCTTCATATTATTATTATTATTATTACTATTTATTATTGTTATATTATTGTACACTGTACATGCAATTGTCGTTTCTTTCATCTTATGAGTTTGAATTTGAAAGGAAATTTTGGGTTTTAGGGGGCTAGTTGGTATAGAAATGAGAGGTCTTGCTTTCTGGGATGAAGCTAATACATACATATATATAATTCGAGAATTATTTATAAATTTTCAGTTGCTCGGTAGAAAATAATGAAGGGTTTAAAGGATGGATTAAATCATTCAAACAAGACTTATGGTGGGAGAATGCGTGTTTAAGAAAGTTTGTTGAGATGATTGTATGAGATTAGAGGGTAAACTAGAACATGGGTTTTGATTGTTTGTTGGTGCGGCTTTGGGTTTTATTGAAATGGGAAAAAAGAAACTGCAATCCCTTATTTACTTGAGATGGTTGTGTGCGACGTTAATTTCTTAGTGCTTTTGCCTTGTTTAACTCGTACCTAGTATATCAAATTGCATTGATTACTTATCTATGCGTAGACTTCTGGGTATTATGAGGATTTGCTGATTTCAAATATTGGCCATGCTGGAGATCAAACAATGCACGATTAGCATTCAATGATGATCTCACATGTGGATCGAACTGGTGGGTAGACTTTTGACCAAGAGTTGGTGAGGGTGAAAACATAATAGAAGAAAGTATAAGGAATCAAAGGAAGGGGGAGGGTGCTCTTCTTTGGCTACAGTCTAAAAGGTGTCAGCTCAGAAAAGTATTCCGTCAAGTTGGCTTTATTGGATTCCATTTAAATCATGGTCATATGTTTCTAGCACTTAACAACTTCTTTCTGATGATTCCTTTTTTCCCCACTTGAAGAGTATCTTGCAGCTGCCACAATATCATATTCTTGAATCTTAATCATCTAACTTAATTAGTTTGAAATGTGATGTGTTTCTGTAATCAGTTCTGTTGATTTATTCTGATGCTTTATTTTCTAAAAGTGGATTTTAATAATGTTGCTATATCTGTTGTACTGCAGTTCTATAAACACTCAATGGCTGAGTATGAGAGTGATTTGCTCTCCATTGTTCATTCTCTGATACTATCTATCAGTGAGAAAGACCTTCACTTTGTCAAGTCTGCTCCGTGTAATGCCAGCTGCATCAGATTTTCTTTAGTAAAGCTTTTGAGGGTTTCTGGTTATGATGCTGCTGTTTGTGGCTCAAGATGGCAGGGTACTGGCAAGGTTCCTGGAGGTAAGCCCCAAACTTTCATAATTTGTCCTTTCTTTGGACTGTTAATTGATTGGTTAATTTCTAGTGGGAGGGAAGAAAAGTACTTATTTTTATCCATCCTAAATGTTGACCATTATGTGATAAAAGAATTCTGAAGTGAAGAGGGAAGGAGCCTTTAGAGAGCAATAATCAGGCTTTGTGTCAAATTTCTGGAGAAAACATAGTATTCTCACATTTCTTTCATGTGTCTTTTAGCTGCCTTCCTTCTGTGGTTGAAAATAGTTATCATTAGGATCTTCAGGACCAATTCTAGTCCTCAAGCTGCTTCTTTTAGTCACTCAAATGATTGGGTTTTGGGTTTTGTTCTTACCATGATTCCTCTAATGACATAAACAGTCATTGCTGTTCGGAGAAACAAAATTGCCAAAGTTTTTATGTGAGGCTGCTTGCGATGAAGATACATTTGAAACTTTTTTTTTGACAGTTTAGTAACTCTTACCTAACATATGTTTACATTTTGGTTTCGATGTTCTGATGACACAAGCATTAGGCATATAAGCATGGCTCTTCTTCACGATTAGAATGGTTTCTAAGTTGAGCCCTGAATATGTTTCTGTTTTATGTGATGGCAGGGGATCATGAATATATTGATGTCATCAACTGCAATGGCGTAGGAAGCAATGAGCGGTTGATAATCGATATTGACTTCAGAAGCCATTTCGAAATAGCCAGACCAGTTGATTCTTATTATAGAATATTGAATTGTCTCCCCGTTATTTATGTTGGCACATTGACTAGGTTGAAACAGTTCCTTCCAGTTATGGTTGAAGCTGCTAGATACTCTCTGAAGCAAAATTCCATGCCACTTCCTCCATGGAGATCGCTTGCATATATGCAAGCTAAGTGGCACTCACCCTACCAGAGACAGATTAATCCTATTGAACAGAATGCCCTTGGCATCTGCTCATCAGACCATAAACAGTGTAGTGGACATTTAAAGAGGCTGCAGTCTGCTCTACAATCCGAACTAGAAGTAGAGAGACTTTTGAAGCCTAAGATCAGCGACAATCGGAGGACGAAACTGGAAAGGTGGAGACAAGTTCGGTGAGAGCACTTTGAGTTGTATAGATTGTGGCCTGGAAGATGCAAATTCCTTTTGAGAGAGTTTTGACTAATCTGCGACTTTACTTTAAGTGATTTTTTTTCCTGGATACGAATAAGTCTGAACCAGAGCAAATGGTGGGTTCGCATTATATTGCTTCGGATACCAATAATGGTGGAGATATCAACAAATTTTTGTCATCAACTCAGGAAACTATACATTACTCATTCTTTTTTGGCGCTACACAGGCAACTGATGCTATTCGGTCAGTGGTGCTGCCGCATTTTTTTTCATATCCTTGCTACCCCTCTGCAGTTGGAACCAGTGGATACTTGATTCACCGAGGTGCATCACTATAGGCGACATATTTTTTTTGTTGGTATTATCTCAAATATATTCCTTAATTGCCTCCTATTTATTTGGCAGAGGAATTTTGTTTTTTGTTTTTGTTCTTTTTAATCTTTGAACATGTTTCAACTTGAATTTTGGGAGCAGTCCTGAGTGACTGAAGGAATGTTACAATACATAATCCTGGTTCCACGAACTTGTTAGATACTGTATGAGTTGGCTTCATGCTCTGGTTTGGTTTTGTCTTCTCATATTATTGGATTTTCTTGAATTGAATGTACTCATCCATCTCTGAATGAAAAATACTTGATTGATTTGGCAGAGTTTGTAGATGAAAACTATTTTTTAATTATGTTTTTCAAGTTTATATATATTTTTTATATAAAATTATATAAGTTAATCAATTCACTTAATATAAAAGAGACTAAGTAGTGATTATATCCAAATAATAGGCTTAATGAGCTTTTAACATTATTAACATAAGATGGGCTTGGGTTTTTAGTTTAAAGATTGGCGATATGAGCTACATAGAATACTACGTAAGTCTTTTTTATATGCTTAGTTTAGGTTTGTGGTATGGATGACAATAGGAAGGATAATATGCACAAGTTTTGATGATAACTTCACCTAACAAATATTCTAATATAAGTAAAAAACAGAATCCGTATATTGAATCTGATGTCGACTTATCTAAGTTAAAGTATAATTTATGATTCATCACCGATCTTATTAAA